ATTGGAGGAATAAAAGTATAAGTTAACAAAACTTAAACATAAGTACAATGAAAGCAAAAGTTGGTTCCTTCTGAGGACTGAACTCTGATCTTTTTCTTTTGCTAAAAACTCTTTCCTAAGGAGGCTGGGTCAGGCTGACAAATGGTAAATTCCCACTAAGCGGCTTTTGTTAACCAAATGAAGCGGTGGTTTACTTCCCAACCTGATTCTGGTACGGCATTAACATCACCTAAAAGATAAGAAGCTCCCGTTTTAACTCAAGCATCCTAGCAGATGCCTATCATAAATTTAAAATATCTTAACTCAAGCATCCTAGCAGATGCCTATTCTTAAATTTAAAGCATCTTAAAGCATCCTAGCAGGCACCTATTGTAAATTTAAAATGTCCTCCTGTCTGGACCTCCCAGAGTGCTCATACCCTTATCTTAAAGTAAGCATATCCTTTCTGGTCTCCTAGATAAAGTCTAACTCTCTCAGCCAATTGCCAGCCAAAGAATCTCTAAACTCACCTATAACCTGTAAGTCCCCCACTTCGAGATGTCCCACCTTTTTGGGCCAAACCAATGTATGCCTCTCATGTATTGATTTGTGACTTTGCCTGTAACCCTTGTCTCTCTGAAAATGTATAAAACTGAACTGTAACTGAGCCACAGTGAGCCCACTTACTCAAGGCTTCTTGAGAGTGGCTCCAGGTCATGGTCCTCAAATTTGGCTCAGAATAAACTTTCAAATATTTCAGGGCTTGGATTTTTCCGTCCACACTTCAAAGACTAATAAAATAGCTATCTGTGATAAAATTAGTCCAAAAAGGGGCAAAAACAAAAATACTGTTAGAAATAAAACCTGGTAAAGATTATTATGGGTAAGGTAATGGAAAAATACTGACAAAAGTGTGCAGAAAATTAAACGAGTAATACTTCTTGAACAAGTGGGCCTTATTTTGGAAAGTAAAGATTAGTAATTAAGAAATGTAGAAATACAATTCAATAGGTCCAAAATTACATCACCATTCTCACATTTATATGTCAATAAATAAAATATGGTAATTAGAATATAGTGTAGCCACACAATGGAAAACTACATAGCATTAAAAGAAATAAAATACATATGGATAGATCTGAAATTATTGGTGAAGTAGGTAAAAAATTGTGTATTATACACATTAAGAAAACTTATACATTTTTAAAAGCACCCAAAAAATAAACAATATTTTCAACTTTCTATGCAGTTTTTTCAATGTACATGTACAGGTAAAATCAGAAGACTAGTAGACCAAAGATGAAAACTTGGCACTGAACTACGGGACACAATGAGGAAGACACCAAGAAAGAGCCATGAGAAGAGTGGTATCAGAAGACGACAAAGACTTTCCAAGGAGAGAAAAGTCAGCAGGGTAATGCAACAGTTAATCTAGGGATGCAACTACAATTTAGTCATTGGTATGTGAACTAAAATAAAATCTTGGGAGCAAGATGGCGGACAAGAAACACAGACAGAATGTCTCTGTAGGAAAGACAGATTCTAGCAGAAATTAGAAAAAAGAAGCAAGAAGACGAGCATACAGAGGACGAGGGCCAGAAGGAGGGGTACCTGAGACCCGGGAGACTCCACAGGAGGAGGCTGCGGAGGAGAACTGGAGGCTGAGACCACCAGAGCAGCCCGGAGACCAGCGGCAAGGGCAGGTGGATTTGCTGTTTCCCCTCCCCTGCATTTGGGACTCCTGGTGGGCTCCCCAGCGGGTGGAGAGACCTGTGGACACCAGCCCAGAGACGGCCACCGCCAGCCAGCGGTGAGCCTGTAACAGACGTGGCACCAGGTTCCCAACTTCCTCTGGGCACTTCCGTGTGCACAGACCCGAGCCACGCGGCGGGTGCCATATTGCC